CCCCCTCATGCTTGTCAGTTCTATGATGTTTTGTTACAACATTTCCGTTAGACGGAAACATCTTTTCTCCTTTTTGTGTATAGACCTCCTTCCCGTCTCTCTATTGTTGTTTTTGTTTTGGTTTTTACTAGATAACTGTGGTGTCACGATTTAGGATAATCTCAGTGTCACATAATCGAAAGTAAAAATTGTTTATGGCACAAGAAAGTGGATCAGTTTAGAATGGTTTAAATGGCTAATGGACGAACGAGAATGAACGTTTTTTCTATCGGCTTTTCCTGCTCCATATTATTAATTATCCACCCCTAGCCACTTACACTGAGGTGAATATCATACTAAAACAGTAAGATAATATAGCTCAAAACTGAGATGATTTTAACTCATTTATTCCTACAACGATTACAATATTTTCGGGAGCAAATCCTTCGCACAAATGCCCCGAGGTGAATAGCAAAGGATATTCAAAGTTTTTTAGCCAATCAGAGTGCACATTCAGCTTTATCCACTGTTTTAGTACCTACTAATAACCATTATTCAAGAGATGATAGACTCATCCTCTGTTAGTTTGCTACCAGAAGCGTGAAAGCGTCTCCCACTAATCTATTTTTGCAAAAACAAATCTCCACGTAATAAAAGAAATTCCTGAGGCCCTGAAAATCATTTTATCTGTGAAAAGAGGAAAATTTCACGACAATTCAATCATAACGATATAAAAACACATGTTAACAAGAGAACGATCAAACGGGCGCGGGAATATTGTCCTGGGAGTTCATAGAAGAGTCGCGCCTGTGAACAGATCAGCGGGTTCCTGGAAAGCGCGGCTACTAAGGCATCAATTTCACGTGTCTGAAGTGTCTGAATTTGTGTGAGTGTTTTAAGTGCGGTTAACAGAAAGATTGGAGGATATACTGTAATATAAAGTTCCTTATTGAGAACTGCTATGGATAGGCATATAAAACAGAAGAAAAGGAAAGTGCTCAAACGAAAGATGCGTCCCAGTGATTCAGCGATCGAAAAAGGTAAGACTCAATAAGCCGGTAAACCACATGTGTTTGAAATGCAGTTCCTGTCGTGTTTTGTCCGAGTCTATATAATTATAGTTGATATTTTATGGTGATTTACAGTTGCAAGGGCTAAAAAGGTGAAAGGAAAAAAGGAAATTCGAGCATTCAATGTATCTGAGGGAGAATCGAAGACGCAAGGCTGCAGTGTCTCAGAGGAAGAATCGATTCCCCAAGGTAACTCTCAGTAGTTATATTTAGGACGCCGTGTGCCATTCACCAGTGAAACTACATGTTTGGTGCACGTTCTTGTAAAGTAATGCTCATTTGACTGATTCATCGCTCTATGCATTTAAAAGTAGTTGAGACATGTAGTTACGACAAGAGGTAATTGTTCACCATGTGATGTATCCCCACACTTCCCCCCTTTGCAATGTTGTTAGCTAAGCAGTACCAAGTAAAAACGAAACTTCGATGAACAACTTTGAATCGGGGGCAATTTTAGTTTTTTGCCCTAGATTTCTTCTTGTCCATCTGATGAAGTTAGTAAATGCGCTTTTTATTTATGCAACTGGTTTTTAGCTTTTGTATTCAACGTTGTTGATGCACTTGCTAATAGCTTAAGTTTTGTGGTTTGAAATTTAGATACTGATACTGTACTGCCAAATGATGATGGCTTGGAGGCTCCTGTAGCGAAGAAGAAGAAAAATTCATATGAAAGCGTCAGCTTACCAGAAGGTAAATTATAATGTTTACTATACTCAATTGAACACAGCACATGTTACAGTAGAACAGTGGCTCAAGTGTGAACTCTACTTGTACCAAGAGCATCTGAAGGTCACGGTCAATCAGTTCCATGTATGATATGCAGAATTAAACTTGCATTTTAATTTGTTCTTACTCATGATTTAATAGAGGACAGATGCATCCATTGGAAGATAATGTCCTTATTAACTGTATTTTGCTTTGTTATCATATTATGAAACAAATAGTTTCCATGTTACCAAGGGTCTGTAAGGTAAAAAAAGTGGCACACAAGGTGCAGCCACATTTTTACATTTTCTGTGATCTAGTACTGAACAGAACCATAGAACACAAATGGATAGCTGTACTTTTGTCTTCTTCAGATGTTTCAGTTCCAGATAGTACAGAGTTTCAGTCCCTGAAAGAATTTGTGAGTGAGAAGACACTTAATGCAATTACTGACATGGGCTTCACAAACATGATGGAAATCCAGCACAAAAGTATTGTACCACTGCTTAAGGGAAGGTACAGTATGATTCCAATGTTTGGTGTATAGTTGATACTTTTAGACCAGTGCATGTATTTCAGGGATTATTTCAGATTCAGGAAATGATTGAGGTTCAAGGTGCGAGTTTAGTTTTTGAGATGCTGATATGAAAGAGCAGATGAATTATCACTCATAATAATTGATAAATTCTTGTGAATAGAAGCTACATGTTTTTCATATATTCATAGTCGTAGAAGCTACTCTTATTTACTTATGGTCTACATGCATTCTATGATATGAAGTCTTTGCAGTGAGCACTTATGTTCACATAATTTCTGTGATACATGCACATGTACATGCATATATACATGTTGAAGGTTGGGTAATCTAAAAGTCTTTAATGGGTCACATCCATTCTATTTGGGTATGGAAAACCAGTGAAGTGATTTTTATTGAATTTAGAAAAAGGTAAGGCATAAATACCTCTTATAGAAGGGTGAATTAAATATTCGAACAAACAGAGAAATTCCTGTGTAATGGTTGTGCATTGTTTTTCTGTAAGGGAAATTATGCTAGGAATCAAATATTTACCAGCTCCAGTTTGAGTTGTTAGCTATTTGTCTATGTACCCTTGTGTTTTAATTTTACTTGGATTTAAGATAATTTCTAGAAGAAAGTCAAAGATATTCTGGAGGGTCATTCGCAGTTCATGAATTCTATCCACTAACATCGTGCTCTGCAAGATTTTAATGCCAAGTTTCTTGTGTTAGGGATTTACTAGGAGCTGCTAGAACTGGCAGTGGAAAAACTCTGGCATTTCTCATCCCAGCAGTGGAACTGTTATACAAGCTGAGCTTTAAGCCAAGAAATGGTAAGCATCTACGTGTTCATGTTTGTTACAATAAGTGCCTTGGTCTTCATTATTTTCATGCAGTCAACTTCTTTGTACTTTTTAAGTTCTGCAATGAATTGTGGGTGGGATGGTGGCTCAGCAGTTAGTTCCATAGACCATGAACAAGAGGTCTGGGACTTGGTGGGGTTGAGTTTTGTTCTTTGGTGAGTAAATTTACTCTTAGAAAGCCTTTTTTCACCAAGGAGTATAACAATGAATGGGTCCCAACAAAGTTTCAAGGAAAATCGAGCAATTTCTGGGGGAATAGTGCTCTAGTCAAAAGAAATGCTTATACTCTTTAAGACTTTTTAAGCTATGAAAAGTAATGTAAGGTTCAGACATAAGAATCATCAGACCAATATGTCTGAATTTTTTTTTACTTTAATATTTGTCTCTTTTGGCATTTAGGTACTGGAGTGATAATAATCTCACCAACAAGAGAGCTGTCTCTTCAGACCTATGGTGTGGCCTGGGACTTGCTCAAATACCACAATCACACATTTGGGATTGTTATGGGTGGAGCCAATCGCAAGGGTGAAGCAGATCGCCTACAGAAGGGTGTCAATTTACTCATAGCAACCCCTGGAAGGCTTCTGGATCACTTACAAGTGAGTTTTATAATTGATACTCAGCTTTATTTTTGTGATGATTGCCCATTACAAAGATGCATCTCTGCCTCTCAGGTTCATGATTTTCAATGTTCAACCCCTGATCACAGGATTTGGTTTCAAGGAACACAGTACAATTTTGTGATCTTTGGAAAGACCTTTGCCTGATAAGTGCCTATCTCCACCCACAGTTAGGTTGTGCAATATCTGTTCATGGTTGCTGTTAGTCTGTCTATGAAAACACATAAAAACACATAAACATTTCGATGGGAATTAAATCTGGGTCAGTATTATCAGCAATCATTGCAGTTTTAAGAATTTTATTAAAAATAGTTGGAGATGTGGACAAGCCTACTGCCCTGTGGATTTACTGGTAAACTCTCTTCTACAAGTTTAAATATTTACCTATATGAAGCTCTTACTGATTTAATTCCCCTTGGTCTATTTCTCAGAATACGCAAGGTTTTATTTTCAAGAATCTCCAGTGTCTGATCATAGATGAAGCTGACAGAATCCTGGAAATTGGCTTTGAAGAAGAAATGAAACAAATTGTCCGACTTTTACCGGGTAAGATTCAATGGTTTTCAATGGATTAGCATATTTGACATTTAAAAATTAGATTATTTGCTCTTGATTTCTTTTGCCTGACAGCTGATGAAGACAAAACCTTAATCAACTCTTGTGGTAGAACATTTGTAGATTTAAATTGTGGTCTGGTTAAAGATAGTTCCTTGGCACATGGAGTATATACAGTGAACCATGTTCAGTAGATATGACAAGAGGAGGATGGTATACAGATTTATTTGATAGCGGGTTGATTTCTAGTTCGCAGGCAGACTGTTTTGTTTTCAGCCACTCAGACCAGAAATGTGGAGGATCTTGCCCGTGTTTCTCTGAAGAAGTCTCCCCTCTATGTGGGCGTTGATGATCACAGGGAGACTTCAACTGTTGAGGGCCTTGAACAGGTAGAGAGGTCATGTATTTGATACTGTTTTGTTATGCCCAAGTTTGTTTCAATTGTGTTCTGAACTCAAATCTTAACTAAAGTCCTGTTGTAACAAGCTGTCTTTTTTACAATGCAGGGATACATTGTGGTTCCTTCAGAGAAGCGTTTCCTGGTGTTGTTCACTTTCCTCAAGAAGAACAGAAATAAGAAAGTTATGGTGTTTTTTTCATCCTGCAACTCTGTCAAGTACCACTATGAACTGCTGAACTACATTGATCTGCCAGTGGCTCATATCCATGTGAGTACAGTGTAACCCCCGTTAAAACGACGCCCCCCCCCCCCCCCCCCCCAGGACTTGAAAACGTATTCCTCTTGATAATCATCTGAATGATTGTGATACTAATCAAACACTATTTCTTTTAGGGGGGGAGGGGGGTTACTTTGAAAGAAACTGTGGTGCAGTGTTGGTGGGGGTGTTTCAAGATAATTTAGTTTCATCAACCATGTTAATAACGAAAATTGACCATCGTGAAAATTTCTAAAGCTGACGTTCCGTGCATTCGCTCTGACGAATATATCAAATTCTTATACCTTGAAGGGAAAGCAAAAGCAACAAAAACGTACCACAACGTTTTTTGAGTTTTGCAATGCTACATCTGGAACTTTGCTGTGTACTGATGTGGCAGCTCGGGGCCTGGATATACCGGAAGTGGACTGGATTGTTCAGTTTGACCCCCCAGATGACCCTAAGGTAATGTACTATTGTAGTCCCGATAAAGGGTTAAAGCGGTTTTTATTTTTGCAATGTTCTCGTACATTATAGGGATTGATGGAAAGAAGTAGAGTTCCCTTGACTGAAGATTGTTTGCACTATTTCGCACGTAATTGCACTTTACAGTATCTTTCTATGAGCTGGTGTGTTTTTGTCTGCTAGGAGTACATTCACAGAGTGGGAAGAACAGCTCGTGGAAATCAGGGGCGTGGTCATGCCTTACTTCTCTTATTACCTGAGGAGCTTGCATTTCTACGATATCTCAAGCAGGCCAAGGTCAGTTAGATTTTAAACGAGAGGCACATGTTCGTTGGTGTTCCGTTTGATATTTGCAAAATAAGGGTTGGTCGGTCATTCAAACGAAGTCTAACTTTGGCTTCGACTAAAGGCAGTAAATCGACATACTGTGAGTTTTTTAAGAAATTAAATTTTATTCCAGTGTCTGCTACAGGGTTTCTCGACACTGTTCACAAACTCAACGTTTGCACTGTTGATAGATGTGCTTGTTCAGGTATAATTTGGAACTAAATATTAGATGGTTTAGAAAACTGTTTTGCTAAACAATGGCTTAACTTTAAAATGAGATAAATAGATAAAATAACTAGCTTAGTGAGTATTCAGTAAGAAGTGGCAGTTTTTCGTTTACAGTTTAATTACGGTGGAGATACTGCAACTTACACGTTGTTAACGGGACACTGACTATTTGGTTATTTTAAACATAAAAGAGTTAGGTTGATTTTTGTTTTTCTGTTCAAGGTTCCTCTCAATGAATATGACTTTTCAGCATCTAAAATATACAACATTCAATCCCAGGTAAAGTATTTTATTTTTATTTATTTACGCGCAGTAATCATGGTTCGAATTAGATGCCCATTACCTTTTGAATACCAGTAGCATTGCTACTTTTACACGAGGATCAAGTATGCTTTGTTGTTGTTGAAAATCATTGCTAGGTTACACGTAAACATAAGCCTTTAAATTAGAAAAAGCGGGAGTAAGGTTTGCTACTCTCATAAGCAAGTTTTCTATTCATACATGTAAGTCGACGTCAAGACCTGACGAAAATTAGCAAAATGCAATTCGAACGTCGGGGTTTATATCATTCGTTAGAGGGCCCTACAAACAAACGATTTTACTTTATCGTGAGACCGACTCTTTTTCATTGCTTTTTTGTTTTTCCAACCATTTATGAAAGTTATTTTTCTCACAGTTGGAAAAACTGATAGAAAAGAACTACTACCTCCATAAATCGGCTCGAGAAGCCTACAGATCGTATTTACAGGCGTACGCCTCGCATCAACACAAGAGTATCTTTAACGTGAACGCTCTCGACCTTCAAAGAGTAGCTCCTGCCTTTGGCTTTGTGGTCCCTCCGCGAGTGAATCTAAGTATCCTTTTATCACCATCAAAACTCTCCTTAACATATCCCTCAAGGCCTTTATTGTTTAATTCAGGTGAAGTTAGTGTTCTAGGCCAAGAAAAAGTTCCTTACTGAGACTTTGGACTTTTTCTTTGTCCCATACTAGTGATAAGACGAAAATCCATCTTCCTCGATTGCATCACCGAGCTAACAAATATTTCATCTCTCTGATTCTATTCACAATCCATGTTAACTTTTACTTCCTCGGCATCTGATTTTAACTTAGTACTTTGCACTCGTAAATGAGGCACACCCCGAATTTAGGGGAAAGCGGGGCAGCTTAAACGCCGGTGTTTACGACGCTTTGTATATTCAGCCTTAACAAACTCCACCAGATGTCCACAGCAGTAAAGGAGAGAGAATTCAGAGACGTGGTGGCGGAGGAGGGTATGGTACGGGATATAAAAGCTCGAAGTTACAACAGAAAGCCAAGATATTTAAAAGAAAGACCGGCGATTCGAGACAATTCACCAGATAAAAATGGAAAGTTTACGGCTTTGACTGCTGAATAAAGTATACATCTGAGCATGTCCCTGCTTCTTATAGGAAACATACATTTGTGCGCTGAGTATACTGCTGAGTGTATTCAATAAGCAAATTATTTATTTGAGAAATCAGAATGGAAGAGAACTGAAAGACTGGTTTAAATTTTGAATCGTTTTGTACGTCATGCAAAACTACATGTACCTCCATCAAAAGAAAAAACAAAACATCTGTTTCGTAAGATAGGAAAACAAAACAAAATAAAACGAGTTGATCGACGAGGATAGTGAGAAAGATTATGAATGGAAACGATTTTACGGTGATAGCAAATAAAAACTTTTTTTTAAAGATCAACAAACCATAATGTCAGACTCTATTAAGTTATTGATGCAAGATTAAGAACACTGATCGCCTCAATTTGATGACATGCCATTTACATGCCATCCACGCGCTATCTAAATTTTGTAGGTTGCACGAGCTACAGAAACACGTGTGATATGGGGCTCTGCTAGTGCGCTTTACGTGCTATAACTCCGCTAGAGACATTATTATTGTTGTTGTTGTGTTGTTTTTCAAATTTTACAGATGGCGAAATTTGTATTAGTTACATACCTAGGTTGGCTACAGTTTGGTTTCCATTTCATCGTTATCAAACCTTAATGCCACTTCATCAGACTCATTGTGACAAGCTCTTAGTTTTGTCTCTCCTCTTCGTTGTTTCCTTTGATTGTAATTATTCCCGGTTTCATTCCAACTCGCTTTGTGACACAGCTGAGAGCTAGTGCTTGTCGAAACTCTGGAATTCTCAATGCATACATAACTGGATTTATAAAAGCATTACAACAATTGAGAACCATAGCAATAACGACTCATCTCATCGGTACTGAAACACCCTCATTCGGGGCACCGAGCACAATATTCAAAGGGACCCAGCAGAACGAATTAAGAATAGAAGAAAACATTAAAGTCTTCGTCAAACGAACGTTTTTCTCGTCCCTTTTTTTCTGTTGTGAAGTGACGTTTCCGTGGCGGAACTTTCTCCAAATGGCGATGTTGCTTCCGCAAGTAATACTTCCTGCAGTGACACCGTATGATGAACGAGCATGACTGATGAAATAGTTGTATGATCGTAAATAAAAAGGGGCAGTGGCTTTCAGAAGATAAAGTGTCATAAAACAAACAAGGCAACGTGGTATGTTCGCGCGGTTAGTGTTCTGTGTTTGAATGGCCAATATACGGCGTAAAACCTCTCACATGATATGGAAACTGCAGATGTCAATGAAACCCAGCGTGAAATTCCGTATGAGAGCCCATAGACACGAGCCAAAGTCGAATTCACAATCTTCAGCGAAAACTGATAACCATTGTTAATTGAGACATCGATGTAAAGGGGAAGAGCAAAAGCCCCTAACAGCAGATCAGCCAAAGCCATATTGATCACAAGGTAAAGACTCTTTTACGAACTCTTTTGTTAGCCGTGAAGAGGATAATTGTGAGGAGGTTTCCAACAGTAATAAATAAAGAAAGCAAGGAGGAAACAGTGCACCATGCAATACCTTCTGGCCTCGAAAGAGCGCTTAAGGAGAAACCAGGTTTTACATCTATGCTAACATTTGCTGAAGATGTGTTATTCATCGGTGCCATCTCGCGCAAAAGGTTATCTTCTTTGAAGATTAAGTCTACCACGCTTCATAGGAAAGCTTTTTGAGTTTGCGCTATTAAGTCATATCTGAGAGTAGTGACCAACCTGCCTAACAGCGGTGCATATCCACTGTTAGGAAGAATGAATGAAATTAACACCAGCTTTACCCCTCAAAGGGCTATTCTAGATGCAAACAAATAATTTAACAAATTACTTTTCATGATAGAAAGATATTTCTTTGTCCGCACCTTTAGGATTTACCGGCTGTGCCATTTTTCTTTTATAAATAGAGAGAAATTGAAAGTGCTGAACAATGAAGATAAAAAATGGTATTCCTCTTCTGCTGTAGATTCTGATAATAAATTTTCCTGACGAGAAAGCAGAAGAAAAGAGGATTGAAAACCAAAACTTTATTCGATGCTTTTGTTCAGATTTTTGACCGACAGCTTTGCAAAAGAAATACTTTTTTTTTTCGTTTCTTTACTGAGGCATTTAAAACGTGTTCGGATTTTTCTCCCTTTGTAATGAAGCATACAGAACTTTTCAGTTAGAAATCCCCGCTTGATTGATTGCACAAATTGCTTGAACGTGCGTGGAAGCAGCGGACGATTCTATCAATATCTGCAACAGTTGGACTTAATTGTGCACTTTTGGTTTCTTTCTGCAAATTGAAAGCGCTGGTGGATAAAAAAGGGTCTTGATCTTTTTTGCAGCAGATGTTTGCATTGTTGCCAATTTTTAACTGAGCGATTGGAACTTTCAGTCTCTACCTTAAACAAGATTAACAATCGCTACCAGACTCTAAAGCTGTGGTGATATATTTCGGGATCAATGGTATGTTTGCATGAGCAATCGAATCTCGGTTCACCCAACAAGGTCAGCTTGATTACCCAGGCATTCAGTCGATTGCGGGTAAATCAACTGTTCTGTCCATGCAGAGAGAAATCGGTACAATTTTCAGAGAAGTATTTTTTCAACCAATTATTTCAAAAAATAACATCGAGTTTATAAAGAACAAAAGATTCTGTTATTGACATCCTTAGCGGGTTTGCCGACTCTTCCAATAATTTTCCTTACTAAACTACAATTTAGGGGGTCAGTGAAAAAAAATCACAAGCTGTAGACAATTCATATTCTTCTTTTTTATCCTGCATAGGGTAAATAATTAACCAGAGCTTTTCCAAGGTGGAGAAAAAACATAAATAAAAGCAGAGTTTCACCAAAAGATACATAAAATGACAAAATGTTGAACTTGGAGCCGACTTATACTAGACTTGCTAACTCTGCGGACCAAGCATTGAGAGAGTTTGAGTTTTTTTCTTTTCGTTATTCTGTATCACTTTTAATTTGAAATTTAGCAATAAAGGAATTTTTTCAGTAAATGCAACACATTTCATCCGACATTGCTTCTCTGCAAGTCAAATTAAAGCTTACTCCTAAAAATGGCAACTGAACTAGTGTAATTTCAATCCATGATTATAACCAGTGACTTAAGAATAAAAGAATTACTTTGTTTGTAAGATGCTATGATACGATCTACATCTATGTGTCATCATCATCATCATCATCATCATCATCAATACCGCTACAACCACCAGTATCATCGTCATCATCACCATACTACCATGCTAGTTGGAAACAAATGTGCCTTGAAATAGACTAAAAAGAGCTTTAAGAAAACCCTAATGTAACTGATAATGACGATTTGTTGTTTTCATGCAGGTAGGACTACTTTGGGAGTGGACTTATCATCCTCTCATTCAGGCTGTTTTCTGATTTTTGCTTTTGGCCTTTCAAGAATCTTTTTCTATTATCTGTGATATCAACCACTGATGCCCTGCGTTATTTCTCTCATTGTTCAAACTTGATAAACTTTTCGTAATGATAAATACATTTAATGAACTTAAAGCGAAATTCATTATCAGTTAAGTTGTTAGTTTCCTCATTTTATTTCGAATCTCCCACAATGCAGTATGTCGTGTATTTGAAACGCCAATTTGCATGCGGACTCTCGGCTATCACGTGAAAAACAAATTGTCTTAGCTTCATAATTACAACTTCTACTTGGGAATGGGGCCCCTCTGGTTTCGTGTATGCGCTCGAGCTGTAATGATAACGTTTCGGTTTTTTCCATCCCTCGTTCCCCTTCCCCATTTCCCATTCATCACTTTCTATTTCTACAGCTTAGTATCCATATCGTTCTAATGAACATTTTGTTGATAATGGTTAGCAGGAGAGTAATTTGTTGTTAACTGTATCTCCAGTGTCAAATTGGCTGTTCTGTTACTCTTTACCCGAACGTTCTTCGTGTGCATCTCAGCTACCTCTCTGACACAGCACAGAGCAAGTGCGTTTCGAAGCTCCGGAATTCTCAGTACATACACAACTGGATTTATAGATGCATTGCACGAATTAAGAACGAAAGCAATGCTTAAATATCTAAGTCCACTTTCCTTCCAAACAGCCCACATAAATGCACATTTTGTTCTTCTCTGTTTTTCTGTCGTGGGGTGGAACTTCCTAATTGAGACTTAATCCAAATGGCGGTGTTGCTACTGCAAATAACTATTGTTTTGATAAAATTGTATGATATCTGAACATATCTGATCAAGTGGCTTTGTGAACTCAAGCAAATGTAGCTGATTTCTCATACACCAGGTTTACAACTGATGGAAATATTGGCAACCAATTGTATAATCAGTTGTTGTGGTGTCAATGTAAATTGGGAAGAGGTTATTTGAGTTCGAACACATTTTTTCCACTAATTGCCTTTTGAGCAGAAGTAAAATTCATTATTTAAACCTCTGAAATTTGCGGGGTGTGCTATTTTTCTTTTCTTAAATTGCAATTGAAAGCGAAAAAGACTGGAAACAAATGATATATTTTGTTGACAATCTTGAAGGATAATAGATTTTAACCATATCTTTACCAACCGAGAAATCGAATAAAAGAAAAAATATAAATATATTTCACAAAGTTGGGATCATTGTTCATTAGAGAAAAAGTGTCTCGAATATTTGAAGGTAACACAGGCGTCCTCATGAGCAGTGAAAACAACTTTGCGTGCTGTCCTCTCGCAGCATTGATTTAGCAAGGCTGGAAAGCGGAGTTACAGTTGTCTAATACTACATCTTTTTATTTGATCTGAAATTTCCACAATGCAGCTTATCGACTATGAAAATTCTCTTCTAAACATAAACCTTCAGTCATCGCGCGTGATTCAATTTTTTAGGCTTCATCAAGTACACTGTAGTATCTTGAATGTAGGGCTCCGCTGGTGATCTTTGCACGCTGGAGCTCCGCATAGAAAACCACTATTTTTTCTCATTTTCACAGCCATGTAGATCTCTATTTGTTTTGTGGTAGGTAAACTACAGCTTGGTTTCCATAAAGTTTTTACGAAATTTAAGTGCTTTGGTATTGGACTCGCTCTGAAAAGCCCTTAAGTGTGCCTCTCGTGACAAAACAGTTGCGGGATTTTCTCTGGTTTTAAGATTTTCTGGGTTCATTTGTGCGCGCTTTCTGACACAGCTCAGCGCCAACGCTTTTCGAAACTCCGGAACTCTCATTGCATACAGTAAAGGGTTTATAAATGCGTTGCAACTATTGAGAGCAACAGTAGTAACGAGCCATCTCGTCCGTATTAAAACACTTTCATGGTCGATACCAAACACCGTGGCTAAAGGGATCCAGCAAAGTAAGTTAAGTATGGAAGCAAACATTAAAGTTTTTGTCAAACGCACATTTTGCACGTCTCTGTTCTTCTGTTGTGAAATGACGTCTCCGTGTTGAAATTTTCTCCAAATTGCGATGTTGCATCCACAGATGATGCATGTTACAGCAAAAATGCATGATGTATTGACATACCTGATGAAATCGTTGTTTGATTTTAAATAAACGTAGCCAATAGCATTCATTGGGACATTTAGCGTCCACGATTTAAAAATGAAAATGTGGTATGTTCGAACTGTTACTCTTCGGTGTCTGAATGGCCAATATATGGCGTAAAACCTCTCATAGGATATCAAAGCCGCAGACGTAAGTGACACAAACAACGAAAGTTTGTAAGAACTCCTAGACACATAAACCAAAGTCCAATTCATCTTTGGTGTGGAAAGTCGATAGTAATCAGTGCTGATAAGAAATTGAACATAAAGTGGAAGACCCAAAGTTCCTAACATCAGATCAGCGGAAGCCATATTGATCACAAAATACAAGCTTTTTTTCCGAACTCTTTTGTTAACTGAAAAGAGAATTATTATGAGAAGGTTTCCAACGACAGTAAAAAAAGAAAGAAAAGAAAGTGAAATGCACCATGCTATGCCTTCTGGTCTTGAAATAGGAACCGTTGCCAAGTCAAGAACATTGACTTTGCTTATATTTGCCGTAGAAGTGTTTTCCATGGTTTCAACCTTGCGTAAGAGGTTCTGTTTGGTGAAGACTTAGTCAAATCGAGGAAACTTTTGACGGAAGCTTTTCAACTTTAAAATGTTGACTAATCTGTGTGACCTGTAACTTAGTGTTAATCACCTCACAACTGTTCAGATCTGCTGTTAATAGAGTACCAAATTGAATCTTAAAACTCATTTACCAAACCCATCTCTGTTTACAATGGAAATATGAGCCAATATAATTTCACGAATTATCTTTTCAGTTGAAGAACAGAAGGTGCTATTATTGAGACTCATAGGATTTGCCGGCTGTGCTCTTTTTCATCTGAAAGTTTAACTTTTTTCTGCTACCCAGGGATCACCAACAAGGATCATGAAATGAACCATAGATTAAGCTCACTTTTCTTTGTTTTTCAGAGAGGGAAGATAACACATTCGGTGAACCCCACTGACTCGGATGGTAAGAACAGTCTTTTTCCATTTTTTTTACACAAGGTAAAACTGTGAGACAATTTATATGAAAAATACCTCTTTGTCCATACTCACTTCTTACTGAGGCAACTCAAACGCTATTTTAAACCATTAATAAACTGAATAGAACTTGGTGTATACTTAGATTTATTGTAGCGAGTGTTTAACAGTAAATTAGAACAGATGTTACTTGATGATGAGAGTCAGAAGAAGAGGAAAGTAAGAGATTTCATTTTTGAATGCGTTTATTCCGATTAGATGTAACAATTCAGAACTTCTCGCAGTTTTATCTTCCTTAAGATTTACTAAGGCGTCTGAGGTCTCAAATTT